ATTTATGTATCGTAAATGGTTACATAAATGCAAACAACAAAAACCAAGAAAAGTGTCTTATTCCCTTTTTTGTAATCTTTTATGATACAAACACCAAAAACCAATCTACCTAACCCGATTACTGGAAATCACTAATTATTACATCACGACTAAAAGCTTAATTCATCACCCAGCAAAAAATGTCTAGTCGACACATGATTTATACTACAATTTCATATAATATAGAACAAATATTGTATTACTTTGTTTACATAATGAATCTGATCCTATTAATTGATTAATTGAATTTCCAAGTCACATAAACAATAATTAATAAAGATTGTACTTAGTCATAATAAGAAGAAAGGTCATTAGATAAAGATAAGTCAGTAAAATCTTATTATTACACCCTATTTCATATCATCTTTGTCGACCTATTTAAATAAATATGTCGCTGCTAAAGACGTGTGTTACGTAAAGCTTTGATCAAAAACTGGGAGCAAGAGTATCATTATGTTGTTCTTATACACAGAATACTGCAAAAATTCTGGCCATTTAAGGTTAAGAGTACTTTGAAAAATTTACATAACATGTTATAATGTTGACTGTATATTAAATTCTATTTACATTATAATAATCCTTGACTTAATAGATGAAAACTTTATACTATAACATTTAAACTAATGAGGTCAGACTACGCGTATATTATCGTAATGCCATACAAATTAAAACCATAATGTTAAAGCTCAATAAAATATCAAATGGGTAAGTTAATTGAAACAACTTATTCGTGGATTATAATTTTACAATCACTGTAACGCGTCAATAGCGTTTCGATAGTATATTTTTATCGGCCTGATATTGAATAGGCCTTAGAGAAATAATTAATTTAGTGCTATAATGCAATTATTTAAAACAACGCTTGAACGAAAGAGTTTCAATTGATATACAAAAAATAAAAAAGAAGCCATGAAAAACCTGAACGGATTTTAATTAAATTTATCCTACTAAACCTAGGGACCAGGTAAGCAAAGCCGCTGGGGGAAAGTAAAATAGTTTCCTTGTTTGGTCGACATTTGACCTTTTCAAGATTATGACCTGGTTTAAGCTATTATAAAAATTACAAGGAAATGAACTTTAACAGATTACTACTATAATCGATATTAGCTGTATGCAAAATTTTAAAAACTGTTCACATTAAAGTAAAATATGCGTTAGTAAGAACGCCTTGAAATGCCAAATGGCAAAAAGGAGTTAATGGTCTGTCCTATAACTGTTTGCTAGTAATTGAAGAATAGTTTTTTATTGCTCTATTTCGCTCAATACGCCATTTTTTCTTTCTATCTCTCTCATAGCCACGGTCATCATAGCTCTTCATATTAGTTAACATTTGTCAATATTTTGGCGAACCACTTAGCGGAAAATCCACCGAGGTAAACTGAAAGCATTCCAACGTGTGAACGCCATAATGATTTATCATTGTTATAACATTTGCCAAAATGTTGGTTAATTTATGCTGTTACTAGTTTTTTGCTCGTGATTTTACACGCGCGAATTAAGTGATTATCAAACCGTTATTATGCTATTAGTATTTTTCCGAATCTTTTCGTAACAAGTCTCTAGGTTGTAATAATTATTAGTATAACATGATTCCTCCATTACTTGGACATATACGTTGAAACATCAGTCAGTCACTTTTAACTTATGTAATAAGTAGTGAATATGTAGTACGTTTGCGACGGATGGATGAAAAGTTGAGTCATAAGTATTGGAGAGGAGACAAAATAAATGTCGGTCGACAACTAAGAAGATGGGTGAAGATTGCAAGCTTGTGCCGAAAAAACAGGATGCACAAAGCGAACAAAGAATAGAAAAAAATGACTTATAAATGAGGAGGCCTATCCCAACTATGAGTTACATAAGACTGAATAAATATAGTAGTAATATAACTCTGTTTAAATTAACAGGTACCAGAAGCATGCTCATGCTCCTTTGACCAGCCTAATAAAATTTCATGCATTTTTGAGCCCATTTGTGATTATTCTTTGTACTTCTCTGGATAAACTTAAAAGTTTTCATGACCACTTGTGGCATCCTGTCTGTTCCTCAAAGCCTTAGTTTTAGATTGATTTAAGGTAACTTAGGTAAATCGTATTGGCTTCCTAAATTTGATGATTTCTTTCAAAATCCTAACTTTTACGGTACTTTCTCGGTACATACTTAAGATTTTATTCATCCATTAGATTATCTTTTGCATATTTCATTTACTGACCATAGACTAAGTAAGAAACTACCATAGACTGACATCAGTTTTCTCAGTCATGCAGTTTCCGCCAGCAAGTTTGTATTAGTATTTGTTTACACCAAAGTCTTTCCTGTTCCAGTGCCTCACGCTTTTACAATCAAATATTATAATTAAAAGCACATAGCTTACAAATAAAAGACAAACCTGACTGACTTATATATTAACGCACAGCCGAATTACTATACCTAGAAACTTGAGATTTATAGTACAGAGATTTTTTTTATGATGTCAGTAAATTGTATGATAGGATTTTTTAGAAACTAACCCTTAAGGGGGTAAAATAGGAGGGTGAAATTCGTATGGAATTTCCTCATTTCTGGACTTAGACGGAGAGCTAGTGAATAAATAAATATACAAAAATTTCATTAATATCAGCAGAATTGAGATCCTTGATGTCCTCCTCAATCATGGACGTAATTCTTAAGAGACATTTTTCAAGTAGATAATAATCGGGAATGAATGTAAACGGAAGCGATGCGTCAACGTTCATTGCTTACAAATTGCCGCGGCAAACTTGCCATATTGTGTTTGTCATTTCTGTGCTGTATACGACGAAGTTATGTGAACGTTGAGATTATGTGACAGTGTTAGTGGCTGTGTGTCTGATAATATTCTTTTTCTATTTATTTTTAAACGAAAAACTTAAATTAACTGACATAAAATTATCATAAAATAACGTTAAATTCTTATATTGTGTTATAAAATATTATTTAATTAATAAGATTGAATTGATTAACAAATAAATTAATTACGTCCAAAATTTAACTATTCAAATTAATACGCACCTTTTTATAGCGGAAATTGATAAATAATATTATTATTATCGAATAATTAATAATAATATGAAATCTCCCTTTTGACATCGATGTATTTACTGCATTAAAAGGACTTAGTTATGCAGTATTCATTTCGAATTTGGCGACATTGATTGTTATTAATTTCCTTATTGAAATGAAAATCAATCATAATCCTAACAGCCCGCAACAGTCCACTGCAGGACTAAGGGTCTCCTCCTCGTCAGTGAACGGTTTTGCCATAATCTCCACGCTTGATTATGGCAAAACCGTTCACCAACGTGGAGGCCAACCATACTGCGATCTCCAACAAAATATGATTTAACACAGAGAGTTGCTGCCCATTCTCTGCTTAGTGTGTAATCCCTTTGTCAGCTCTTTGTATCGTACTCTACCGTCACCACGTGAAAAATAATTAATAGGTTTAATTTTATTCAGGGTCAATACAAATCTAACTGAGAATCTGTCAATCATTTCACGGAGGAATTTACGCAAGCATTTTCTACAGACTCATCTGTCATTGTTTAAAAAAATAATGTCCGTCCAAAGAAAGCAAGTTACAGAAACGGTCACGCCACACAGACGTGACCGATAGAGTAACTGAGCGATCTGATATGCACTGACCCTTTTAATAAAAAAAAACAACAATAAAAATAGAATTTCTAAACTCATATGCAGCTAATTTTTGATAAGATAAGATAATGATAAAACACCTTACTGTACAACACACAACAGAGATTAATATATAAAGGCAATAAAAAACAAAAAAATCATTTTGCATAATAGTTGGCCTTATCGGTTAACAGCGATTTCTTCCAGGCAACTTATACTGTAAGAGGCATGTTCAGTTGAATTGTTAAAAAAATTACAAATCTTAATTTCAATATAGCGTATTTTTGAAAATTGCTGAAAAAAACAAAACAAATTGATGATATGTAATACCTACTTATTTTTCTTTTTTTATACAACAGCCTGACTGAAATAATAAAATGTAACTGTTTAAAAAAAATATTTGGCACGATTACCGATTATTATAATATACAATAACGATTATTATAAGCAATCAGTTTTGCATTCACGATGCTATATAAATATTTTTCTTTAAAATAGGAAAAAATATTCAAAGCTTCATCATCACCTTGTCAAATGTTTTTTACTTTAAACAACATTTGGCATTCAATTGCTTGTAACATAAACATACAACAAAAAACTGTTTTCCTAAGCATGCGTACATTATATTCCAAACCAATTATAGCATTTTTCAACAATAGTTATCAAAGAGCGTCGTCACAGTGGTGAATTGTTAAGAGTACTCTGATACTTAAGATTATTAAAACAGAGAACAAATATTAAAAAACGTAGAAATTTAATAATAGGTATATACTAAACAGCTGAGTAAGCATTCGTGAAAAGCACAAGTCAAAATATCTCACTCTCCGGGCGATCTCTTATTACTGAGGATCGTGGTCATCAGATTCGCAAAACAACGTCTACCTCCATTTGACCCAGCTCTTCCGGCCGGAATTCGATGACGGAAGTGATCTCCTTCACTTGTCCACGTGTTCTTCTACCTCCAATATAGCCAATAATGACCAATTCACCTAGATTATCAACTTCTCTTACGGTTAAAATGAATCTTCACCCCGTACTACCCACAGAAATTCAGCAAATACTAAGATTATAATCTCCCAGTTTCATTTTATGTTCAATAAACATTAAATTATTTCGATAACAATACCTAACTACAATACTAAGCAAAAATAATTTAAGAAAAGTATATTTTAGACATTGTAAGCTAACAGTCGCCTTAATACAATCCGCCGCGTGACCGGCGATAAAACCTATGATCGTTATCTCATTATCCACAGTCCATAATTATTCGCCGGCACAGTCTTATAAAGATCGCGTACTAACAAAACGTCCAGTGATCAAGTACACCAGCTATATTTCAGTTATATCTAAAAACATTAAACAACATAACGCATTCGTATTTAATGCACAAAATGAATAAATCCTAGACAAAGTTGCTTGTATCTATACTTCAATACAATATAATGCTATCTATAATAATTCATTGTTATCAACGCTTAATTGATATCAAATAAATGTATTGGACATGTAAATACTAATAGCAATTGTGATGTCTTACTTATCGCAACTCATAACATTTACATTATACTTCTCAACTGAGACAATTGTACGTTTGAATAGTAGTGTTTTACAAACAATGGGACTTGAGATCATAAAATAACAACTTAAAAGTGTTTTGAACATCACGAAACAACATGGCAGAGGAAAAACAGAAAAACACCGAATGGATAGAAGAGAATCCGTTGAAGGGAACTGTGATTGAGAAAGTGGAGAAAAAAACATGGGGTGAAAAGTATGAACATGTGAAAAGGAATATAACAGTGGAACCTTTGCTCGCTGGTCTCATAATACCGAGCGTGATATCAAGATTTGCGATGGGTAATCTCAATTTGGATAAAGCATGCCGAGTTAACCTACAATTCGGAAATGAGGTTTGCGACGCCTTAGTAGCAAAGAACAGCAGTAACTTTTCTTCGTATGAAAAACAAGTTCAGCAACTTATTGCATCTATAGACATTTGGAAGAGCATCATTCATACCGGATTACCTTGTTTGATGATAATGTTCTTAGGAGCTTGGAGTGACAGAACTGGAAAGAGGAAGATTATTATATTACTCCCAGTTATAGGAGAACTTTTGACATCCATCAGCAATTTAATTAATGTGTACTTCTTCTATGAAATTCCTGTTGAAGTCACTGTGTTCTTAGAAACTTTCTTTCCTGCTATAACTGGTGGATGGGTTACAATGTTCCTAGGTGTTTTCAGTTACATTAGTGATATAACTTCGGAAAAGACTAGAACATTTAGAGTAGGTTTAGTTAATTTCTGTATGACCTCCGGACTCCCGATCGGGCTTGGCCTCAGTGGCATTATTTTGAAGAACTTCGGATACTACGGCGTATTTTCGATGACCACAGTGATGTTTGTCCTGGTGCTCACATATGGATTCACTTGTCTGAAGGAGCCAGACCAGTTTCTCAAAGAACAAGGATTAACCCCGGTAAGTAGTAAGCTTTTGTTATTTTATAATAGTAATAAATTTTCACCGCTCATATCATTTTATACTATAAAAATTATCATGATTTATTATTAACTTAGATACGATGATTAATCTAAATATGTGAACGTAATTCACAACATTAAAGAGGCCGCAATGTGATTTTGGCTATATTATTGTATTTATATAGTTAAAACGACTTGGGGTGGAAAACTAACTATTCCACGTATTGACCTTAAATACCAAAGTTTGAATCTGCGATATTTCAAAGCATTTTTTCTCTTAAATCTCATTCTTTAATCTGAACTATAACTTTAATTTAACAAATACCTTCCAAACTCATTTAACCGTTCCCATATGACGGATTTAACGAAGAACAAGATATATAATTAGAATCTCAGACACTGTATACGGAATTTTAGCGTCTAAATAAATTATTATATATCACTATCTGCTATGAAACCATTTTCGAAAAATCCCATCGGAAATATCCACAGAACACTCGCCTCACTTATACACTTTGATATCATTTGCTAAGTATGCGAAATTATTGTATACTAATTTGCGAATCAATTTTAGGTCTTTGGACCTTTTAAATCTTTTTAAAGTAAGACTCATACTTTTTGATCAGTCATCTGATGATCTTTCGTGAAATAACTCACTTTGACCTTACTAATCGATTTATCAACGAGACATCAATCCATTTAATTATGCATTAAAAATAACACGTGCGCCATTTTATTGACACAAACAATCTATTACACATTTATGTCACATTTTGCACGCGTATATTTCATGTTTGCCGCATTTGAGAACAATAGTATATGTGTAAATATTATATTAATTATCAGTATCAATAAACATCTAATATTTATATGAGAACTTTAAATTTTCTTATTTGTCCTGTTTAATTCATTATGCAACTTAGAAATTGTTATGATCGAGTTCCTTATAATCAATATCGATCATCAAGCTGGACCGATTGGTTAAAGACGTTTTATTTTTATTTATCTAATTAATATATCGCGTAAACATAAACACACTTACTTTTAACTAATCTAGTGTAAAAACATGAAAATATTCTTGGAAATATATATAATTTTCAACAGAAAATGAAATATATAAATATATATTTCCAAGAGTATTTGCACGGTCAAAATGTAAATACTTAACATAAAATTTAAAAGAGCTATATCTAAAATATAAAATGGTATTAAAGGAACCACACATAAATAAATCGCATCACATAGCTTCAATGAAATTAAACCTTATTGCCTTTTGAAGTAGGTTTTATTTATTTAGATAGTAATCCTCCTCAAGAAAACTTTAACCTCCCATTTATTGTTATTAAAATTGCACATTAACTTTCTTTGCGATGATCTAGTTGTACAAGAATAACGGTACAGAACTTGAAAGAAAATTTTATGCTGGCTATCAGAAAAAACATTACCATCTGAAAATACTATCTGTTTAAATTATTGAATACCGGGAACAAACTTTCACTTTAGCATCAAGCTAATAAGGTTGGTTAACATGAGTTGTGATTATTTATAGTATTACCTGTTTTACCGGAGAAGTGGAACTTTTCTTCCTTGAACTATCCTTACTAATAATATAAATGTAAAACTTGGTCTGAAACCATTTAGATGAAATTTGCTTTGAAAAAGTGTTTTAATTATTGACCACTGAACAAGATATACAATAGATTTCACACGAATCGTAATACAGTATCAAAAGACGGGTAGAAGTATGGTATGGGGAAATTAGTTACTTACATTCTCATTCATGCTTCTACTTATTAGTTTTTACATCAATTTAAAAATAATGAAAACTTGTAGAAGAAACGACTTCGGAAGAATTGAATAATTCTTTTTTCTTATATATTCAATATACTGACTCAATTTACATTCAGGCTAATATTTGAAGGCTAAGTTTTTACACGTCTCACATCAAATGTTGTTTGAATTTGTCGTTATAAGAGTTATTTTACGATTCTCAATATTATCTATCATATAACATCAAGATAATTATGGTAATGAAGTATTCGAGACTATACTCTTTAAAGAAATAATTAATAAGTGCGTAATTTTTGAAATTGGGTAAAAACACGACTATAAATACTAATACGACGAAAACGAAGTTGTGGGCAAAAGCTAGTAACAATATAATTGGATGTGTTCTGCCAAATAACAAGAATACTACGAGAAGTACAAAATAACCCTTTCTTATAAATTTTGTTATTAATGTCGTATTTTTGGGAAAAAAATAACTAGAATTATAAAACTTCCATTGAAAATAATATTAACATCATAAAATCTATGCTCGGCTTCAACGGAAGTTCTATAAATAGCCTTTAAAATGAGTATTATATTTTGATTCGAACTTTTCTTAATTATTTTATCTGGGTCAGTATCATTTCATTAATATTTAGTGTTTTTCCATTTAATCGAGTATACAACCAAATATTTCAAACAATACTTTCACAATAACAATATTAACAGGATTATCTCTATAACCTACATTATTTATTTGAACAGCGCACATTTAATCGAATTACGATAATACATTTATTTTAAGTGATACTATGTGATCTTTAACTATATTATTTTGAAATTATTATTGATTCTTAGCTTTAGCTGTGTTTCTTTTCATAATTTCAATGTCTAATGTCTGAATTTATAGGTATATTCAATTAGCTTTCCGCCAGCGACTTTGCCCGCGTGGTCTCTAGGGAACTGTTTGTTTGGATATCGATTCATATCATGACACGCATATAATAGGGATGATGTCTAATTTTTGTTTGATTGTCCGTCGTTTTTCATTGAGTTGAAATTTCGCATGACGTTACATGAGAGTACGTTTTCTACTCAACTGTGACGTAGCGAGCCCCCACTCCTCAACTTTAATGCCTGTTATCTAAGCTATTTCTCGTTAAATTGAAGTAAAAAAAAAATACGTATCTAATATTTTTCTATTATCTGACTGACGGACTAAATAGAATTGCATTTTTTTTACCCAGTCATCATCCGTATTACAATGACAATTTGAATAGTAAACAATGGTTACTATGGTAACATTTTAATTTCCTATACAAACTTCCACTCCCATTTTTATCCCTTTATTTGCTGTTTTTCGGAACAAATATAACCTATGATGGAGCTTCTCGTAGGTAAAAGAATTTTTAACATCGATCCAGTTGTTTCGGAGCCTATTCGTTGCAAACAAACAAACAATCAAATCTGTCCACTTTATAATATTAGTATATAAGACAGTTGAAATTTAGGATTTGTTATTACTCGTAATTGTATTATAGGGAATATATTTTTATGTAAGTCTTACTTAATAAGTACTTAGGTAGCTATTTCTTATTAATATTGTATAATTAAATAAATGCAAACTTTGATCAATCTAATATAAATTACTTTTTTCATTAGATTAATCAAATACCATTTGTGAACTAAATAAAAATTATTTGTGGGTTAACACATTACCGTGCGTAATGGGCAAATGTGCACATAGTTGAATTTTTTTTTTTTAATAATACACGAGAGCAATCCTCTCCCTTTAGTACTTTTTCGAACAAAGGATGCACAAGGCACATTACAAATCTGTTTCAAATTTCACTAATTTCATATTCTATTTCCCACAGTTTAAACACAATGTGCGCATTCTTGACTCTAACTACCATTTGTGAATATCAAAATTTGAACTCTTCAACGGCAGTTTCACAACTTTATCAGTCCATTGGGGCATAAGCATTGCCATTTTTTTATACCGAAGGGAACTAGCCTTAGCATTTCATCGACCTTGACTAGAGGCCAACTAGACCCGGGCTCTCCTGCTGTTGTACGCGGCCTAGGCCCTATACAACAGCAGGCCTACCGTTCAAAACCCTTCATAGCACCTTGTCGCATAATCCGGTACCCGGTGCCTGATTGTCAATACCCGGGTAGGGGCATAAGCATTCCCTAGTAAAGAAATCAAATCAAATCTAATATGGGCCATGACCCATCACACCGACGTTGGATGTTTGTGACTGCAGATGCAGCCAAGACCAACGGCTTAACGAACCCAAGGAGAGAGGAGCTCCAGACTATACATTTTTGGTCACCCACCTTATGACCGGCACTTGCTAAAGTTGCTGAACTTCCTCATCGTAGACCGAACTCGCTAAATTCTAAAATTTTCAATTTCTTAGAATTTAGAAATGCGGTCTTATTTTCCAAACGCATGCGTAGATCGTTAAACTACTTAATTACTTAGTCTTATCTGAGCATTAGTTTTGTCATCTGAATCCAACATGTTTGGAAATACACATACTTCCTTCTTATCTAGATAACAATTCAAATTGGGTATCTGCGGTGCTTAACCAAATGCGATAGGCATAAAACAAATAAAAAGAAGCCAAGACCGAGTCAGGGATATATTTCTGCGATAATCCTTTCGGATCCTTTGGGTACAGGAATCACTCACCTGTTATAATACAATAAAATGCAACTGTTAATCCAACGTTAAGCCTCTGTGATGAACTACGCAAAAGGATTATTTTCAACCAACCAATATGTATAATACAAGTATCACGCCATCGGGCGATCCACCAATATCCACGCGTCGAACTACTGCTGAGTGTGAATGAAACGGATATCTGGACGCTGTTATGCAATATGATGTCAAGCCACAAGATCGCCATTTCGAGAAAATCGTGTTTAAAAACGAAAACAACATATTTGTCTAAATAAAGTCTGTGTTATAAAAATAAATAACTTTGTGAAGGTATTTAAACGATTGGATAATCGGGGAAGCAATTGTCAAGATGACAATCATAAAATAACACATAATTAATAAATAAATTAAACATCTGGTTATTAAAAAAATGTCGAATCGATAACAATTTAAAATGATTAGATAACAACATTAGATTCTAATGTTGAATTTTACACATTATGGGTATTGAATCGAGAATCACTTCAAATTTTAATGGTGGTTCGATCATTCTCGGAATTTATTGATCTGAACGCTTCGTATAACATTTTTGACGTTTACGTTCACCGATTATCGTTTATCGACCAATTAAGATTTTAGTATGGAATCCGATACAGCGCCCCTAACGGTAACTAAAAAGAACTACAAATCTCCATACAAAATCCTAACGCGGTCACTAGTGAACGCTTTAACGTAAAACATACACTTAACGCTGTCCCAGGGTCGAACGAAGATTAACCATGCGCAGCGCCATATTAGTTACAACTTACTGCACCAATTTCTGTGATTACAGTTTTGAAAATGAAAAATTCTTTATTCAGTTAAGCTTATGCCAAACATATTTGAATCGTCAAATTTTTTCTCCCTACCACTCGTTCAGGATGTCTTTAAGCTGACGAAGAACAAGCGAAAAAAACTTACCAGCTCTTTACCAGAAGATCTTTACATCAATAATGTCATTACCAAAATGAAACGTATTACGATAATAATAAAAACAATTAACAATGTCTTAAGGACATAGCATAGTTAAGCTAATATAGTATCAGTGACATTATATTACACAGCTCACGTAAAAATATTTCCTGTCAAAATACTTTTTAGCATACTTAGTCGTAAGCTGGTCTTATTTCACGGCTTCTAAGTTCATAATACAGTACGTAAATAACAATACATTGTATGTTGTAGTGCTTTTAACTTTACTGCACTCATCGTAAAGTTTCAAAACAGTCTTCATGTCTAGTCTAGCGAGTGCAGATTTTAAGCGCACTTTTTATCTATAATATATATTATACATATAAGACTGAAATACAAAACTATGACCTGAATTTTGACTTGAACGTTCAGCCTGACATAATAACTTTTTATTTAAAAAATTCGATTGCTTACATTCAAAAATAATGTATTCAATCTAGGCAGTTACAAGCGCTTGTGAAATTCGAAACTCATATCATAATCGGAACCTTAGAAATAGCGACATCTGAAACCGACGTAAATGACATCCTACTAGACAGAAAACTTTCCAATCTATGTGTAAAATAAGGCGGAGGGATTTGAGATGTGGTTGTACTGAAGAATACTTAGGATTTCATGGACAGAAAAAGTGTGAAATAAGGAAGTACTACGTCGAATGAGTAAATCGTTGGAAGTTCTAACAGCGAAAAAGAGGCTTCAAATATAATATCTGGGTCACATATTGAGCAGCCAAAATTACTAATTATTACAATTGATCATCCAAGGAAAGATTCAGGGCAAGTTACAATTAGGGCAGCTGTTTCGTAAAAGGAAATTGCCAAACTATTCTAGCGGATGGAACCCACAGAAGAAGATGCATCCAAAAAATTTATCTATCTATCAGACGATTTATCTATCTTCACGCCGTATATCAGCCATTTGACGTAGTACTTCCGCCGTAGGCAGAGAGGACCGAACGCCACAACATATGGTCCTTACATACATCTATAGCCTCATCCACTTTCATTACTCTTTTCATACATACTTGCCGGTTCTTATAGCTTTTGACATAATCTTCTGAGAATCTGACAAAATGATATTTTTTTTATCTTGCATTTTAGGACAAGTGATATTAAGATTCTGACGATGTTGCGCGTACCTCATACATGAATTATCATTCGCAGTTCCATTCTGATTTTGCTCGAAATTACTTATTTCAATACTACTTATCTTCACAGATTGAACGCAAATCGTCGCCAGATGTGTCGTTCTTCGATCTTACTCACGTGGGTGAGACTATGAAGGTCGCGTATCGTCCTCGGCTACTTAACAAAAGGGTCAAGGTTATACTTACTCTGTTTGCAGTCTTCATACTGTATGGACCGGCTACATGTAAGTACGATAGTTAAAAACAAACGCAACTTTTGACTTTGCTAAAAATCACTAATATATTCCATGTTACTAAAAAATACGATTAATAATAAATCTAAGCTAAGATTGCCCTTTAAACTAATCAAAATTAATATTATTAAACAGAAAGCAAGCTGATTTTGATATATTTTTACATGGAATTAACGTCTTTTATATTGCAGTAAAGACTATAGAAAAATGGCAAAGGCTATTAATATTCATCCTATTAATATCACTACTTTCGTACATCTTTATCCAATACATAGGCCTGGTGTTAACGATTGCAGATGCAGCAGCGACAACAGCACATGACTTCTGAGGTACTAAGAATCTGGAGATAATAAATTTTTAGTCACCCATCCAACCGACCATTACAAAGTTGTCTAACATATCCGCATCGAGTTTCTCAGATAAATATTCAGTCGGGTTCTTTTTTCAACAACAACTGTACCACTCCCACTGTTGAGTCTCTTCCCCCGTTGATCTCCACGTCGATTGGTTCGGCGCTGCCCAAATCCAGCGGCATTTGATTTAATACCTTACCCCATTTTACATTATCGGAATTAAAACTAAAAACTTATTGATCTGACATTGTTTCTTTCAGCTGAATTCCAAGTATTGTACCTGTTTCTAAGAAACCGGCTCAATTGGGATATGGTGAAGTTTGGTCTATTCTGCAGTTACTCGATCATATTGCATTCTTTTGGTAACTATACTTGCCTATATCTTTGTTTTATTTTTTAAGAGACACCTTAAAACCGTGAAACTCACTTGTATAAATATTTTTGTCGCCACAAATGTTGCAAAAATCACCACTAGACGTGGCTGGCACTGTAAGGTCCAGTAACTCCCGAGGATGCTCCGTGGAAAAACAAAACGCGTACGGAGTGATTTTTGCGAGATTTGTAGCCGTTTGTACATGTGAATCTGTATATGGGCAGTGCGCAGCAGATCTTGCAAATACTGACTGGGTATGAAAATGCTAGATGTCGAGTTTCACAGTTATGCAAAGGACTTATCTACTCAAGACAACGCTTGATTCTATAAATTAAAGGCATATACAAATTCAAACTTCTTTTTCTTTGAATTCAAGCAACTTATTTCATAAATTATTCTAGTCATATAGATAAATTTGTTAACTTTACATATTTATATCTATCCAAAATTTTACTTAGTTTCATAATATAAGCCAAAATTTTAAATTATTTGTGCATATTAAAATAATAAAATTAAACATAAATGATGAAAATTATATTATCTCATAAAGATACCACGACTTCAATAGTGTATTTATTAAAATATATCAAATTGTGTTAACCACTTGGTGAAGCCACACTGACTTCGAAACCAGCCCGCACAGTAGAGACTCTAACAATAAAATTCTGAGACAGGGGATCAAACCAAGTTCTGTCTCTTTTTACATATACATTATATAGTAAAAATAGAAAGTAGATATTCTATGATGTGTGTGTATATATATATATATATATAGCAGTACATATGTATATATATACTGCTATCTTATACGCTGCAACAACAAACGTCGTATCTACTACTCTCATCTGAAAACCGCTTCGGAATTGTCTTCACGACCATGGTACTATAGCTCAACAATTTTATTAAAAATTTCAGGCGCCATGTTTTCTATCACAGTGTTAAGCAAGAAACTACAAGTTGATGACTCCGTTCTGTGCCTGATCTCTCTTTTCAGCAAATTCGTGGGCTCCATATGGACGGCTTTTGTTCAGACTGACCTCGAAATGTATATGCGTAAGAGAATTACTTATCTTATTTTCTATCATCATCATCAGCATATGTCTTCCCTATGGAGCGGATTAACCCCATTGGGGGCCCGGGACAACAAATACATGCTACGGACGGTACTTATTTGTCTACGGGGCCTCCAATACAAATTTATAATGTGATCAAGAGACTTTGCTGCTATTAAGAGGCCCCTCAAAACCGGAGGTCCAATAAAAATAGCAGATGATAAGTCGAATTCAGCATGGATTGGTATGATTGTATAACTGTAATTAAGAAAACAAAAATATCGATGTATATTTCTCAATGTACTCAAGATTTATTAGGATTTGCATTTCAAAACACATTAACGATTTAATTAATAATTTACTTGTAATTTTGGCAGAATGACTGAGTACCTTTGCTTTTCTCTAAAGACAAAATCGGTTACTATATATTCTGTAAAATTACCAATAAAAAGTATTATATTTGGCGCGAATATGTAAGAGTCGTTTAATAACGTTTATTTTTATTTTTTTTATGATGTATATTGTTTTTAAAGTAAGTTTTAGTCTGTGAACTTAATGCAATATTGAAAGATAAAAGGATCAAGCATGAACCTGAATAATATGTAAATTAATGAAATAATACGGTGCATAGGTCGTAAAAAGGAACAGTTTTTCTTGATTTTAGCGCGAGAACATAATCGAGGCACCACTTTTCTGTGCATTTCTTTGTCTTCATAACGTATCGTTTGCTTGATCCCAAATCAATCTATCCCGAAAAACTCTAAAGAAACATTGGTGTCTGAAAGGTATAGTTATTGCAAGCACAACAAATATTACCTCAGATTAAAATGAATGAATTATCAAAATACGTTTACCTCGAATAATCTGTATGGGCTATTTTTTTGCATGTAACTTAAAACAACAATATCTTACCCAGCATCATGTCATAAAAATTTTATACTACATTTTACATCATGGCACTCAAACTAAACTAAAATATTTCTCTATCATTCACAATCCGCCTATACATTATTATCCCCACCTTTCAGCCTGTTGTACAAACATCCGTTAAAATTGTCATTAGTTTAAAGCTACATTACCTATACAAATTTGACATTCGTTAAAGATTAAAGGCGTCGCTAAACCTGAATGGACGTTTGTGCTACTAACAGTTTGTGACATAAGTCTTCCCTGGAAGTCATGGGTTCGAGTGCAACGTGGATTTTTTAAGCATTTTTCATTAAAAAATAATATCTATTTTTTTTATTATCTAACTGAAGGGCTAGAATACAATAAATTTTATTACACATTACAGGAACATAAGATTTTTTTTTTACTCAGGCATCATCCCTATTCATCCTTATGTATTTATTTTCTTTATTACAGTTCCGATAGTAGAGTTGTTCAACGCAACCACATTTACATCACTGCGATCCATAATTTCCAAGTTGGTGGACAAACAGGAAACCGGTAAGATACAATTGCCCTACAATTTTCTGAACAATTTAATTGCAGAACGATTCGCGAATGGCAACTAATAATGTATTTTGTGAAAATGCGAATTCATTGTCAATTGCTTATGTATGTTCGTCACTGTGATAATGTAGATTTTTTCCCATAAATTATTAGCTTTTTAAGAGTCCTATTAACAAAATACAAAGTACAGTCCAATACGAAAAAATGTTAAGATTCAAATATAAATATGATTTAGATTCAGCTTATGGTGATTATTTTGATTAAATCATATTTTCTTCACAGATATAGTTTCCGAAATAATTCAGCTGATGATTTATATTTATCTACTAAACCTTTGACAGCGTCTTAATGTGAAAGGTTTTACGCACTTGTCCTTCAACAACAGTAGTGCTTAACTACTTTGGATCTCCCTAACTTTTTATTTCTATATCTCTACTCCACTAAGCAAACACACAATTGATATTAAAAACAATCTAAATAATATTCAAAAATCGTGATATATCACTGAAACCACTTTTTCATACATTGGTCTGCGGGGTACTTGGTAATGATATTTACTTTTAAACTCAGACTTTTGGATGTAAATTTCCAAAAAGGTTTTATTGCAGGCCATCAACAATTAACTATTTTTAAGTATAATTTTGTCTACAGCTAAAGTGAATTCGCTATTTTCGTTAACGGAGACGGTGGCGGCACTTGTATTCCATCCATTCTACGCGTGGTTATATATGAGCACTCTGTACATATTCTCTGGCTCCGTGTTCATTATGAGCGCTATTTTCATCATACCTGGCATCATCATACTCTCGTAAGTCATATATTAATCAATACTCAATGTTTACAATAATACTTATTGGTACAATAACATTTGTCTTTTTATTAGAGAGAAGTGATAGTAAAAGTTAAGGGCCAAATATATTGATGATTTTTACGTAAAATTATAAATTTTGGTGCTCTCGATCTAATTTTGACTTATTAAATACTTCAGAATAACTCCTGCCATAGTTCCTAGCGGCCTCACTTTTTGGAAATATTTTTATATATTGCGCGAAAACATATTTTTGAGCTACGGTTCTAAAAAAATTGAATGATATCTCTTTTATAGTCGTGTCTTTCGTAGAGACCTCAAAATTATAGAAAAAAAACATATAATAAATAAAAAACTTAAAACATTGCTTGAAGTTAACTGTGAACTTCTCGTATCTACGACAAATTTTGGGTTATTGCATTTATCGTAAGGACTGCTTTAATTTGAGACTATATCTTTGACAGAATATATCATAGCCATTATAAAACAGTGTTATTTTTGATTATGGATATTATAGTTTTATAAGAGCTAAATAAGATGACAATAATATAAATAATCAAAAAATTTAAGTGGCTTATTTAATTTGTTATCTACTAGTAACCCAAAACTGTATTCACTATTCGTACCTCGATCAATTAAAATGAATAGTTTTACAATTGTTTAAAGTTGTTTACATAATAATATTTATTTCACATGTTTGCAGATGGTTCTACTATAACCACAGAAAAGACTTCAGGCAAACGAGAAAGCAAGCACTCGAGGCCGAAGATAAAAAAGACGAAGATCCAAAAAAGTCATCTTTATCATTCCATCCAGATAAAAGTGTCGTGGCTAATGAGAAGAAACACGAAACTTGCATACCAAAAACAGAAGAAAAGAGAAAGAAAGAAAATCCACTAGACGATATTAAAAAGTCCCCTAAGTATCTATAAGCAATAAAAATAAAGTATTATTTAACTCCCGTACGCGTCAATTGACCAACTCCTAAAACAATTTGTCTACACCTAAATATCACTTTTACTCGAGTCACACGATATGTTAGTCTCCCGTGAAAGATTTTTCTCGAGTTGGTTATACTACGGGTACTGCACGCGTAGCATGGCATTCTCGAGAGACTCGAGAAACAAGTCCCGAGTGAGATAATGTACAAGAGCACCTGAAAGAGGCGACAAAAACCTCTTTCGCGTTTGACATGCAACGCGTACTGCCTAGCGAAGCATGACAAACTCAAGAGACTTGAGAAATACGTCTAGAATAAGATATACCAACACGATATTTCACTCTCGGCATTGCTCTCATCCGTTTTTCGAGTCTCTCGAGTTCGTAATGCAACACGGGTTGGTGTAAATAAAGTTTATGCATAAGAAGACTATAACAGTTATGTCAATAAGAGAAAGAAAGCCTTGTTTGATATTCAGCTCAATATTTATCATAACGACATAAAACCAAACAGGCGCCTCTGACCGTCAAAAATTTTATTTATATATACTTATTATTTTTCATTATAAATTTTATTTAATTGAAGCTCTATAACGTGACATTGTTGCATACGATGACGAGTTCGAGGCTGTTGTTAATACATAGAATAGCTTAGTAAAGTAAAGGAGGACCTACTCAATACTAAATATAGTATATCTCATCATATGATCGCAATAGTATTGTGAAATTTCCCTATATTTGCCAATGTAATTTTGAGATCAAAATAAATTATGCTAACACACTTTAAGGCTAACACTACACAATATATTAATCACAACATTAGGCTTACACATTTAGATATAGATCCCGAATTCAACGACATCAAATCGGGTAATCGGTACGATTAGAAGTTAGTTAAAATTAATACAAAAAAACAAGGCTGGGGCCTATTTTGTTTTGAGTTGTTTATTTAATGTAAGATATACCTACAAAATAGATTTACGTAATATAAGTCATAAGTATTCTTAAACAAAATAGAACATAAAGCTGAATTAAATAATGCACAGAATGGAAGGATGAAAACTGCATATTACAAATACTGCAAACCTTTGCTCCAGTAGACCGCGTGCGCAAACATTCGAGAAGACAATGTTTCGGTTTAGCCCGATCTAAGCATCTCAAGTCTTTTGCATTCATCATATTACGCGTTTACAGATCAATAAGATAAAATAATCCTCTAACTTTATTCATTTGGTGCAAATCTGACAGTTTTGTGAGAAAATTTTAAATACCTGTTTTTCAATTTTCATAACAATCTTTATCAAGAATATAACATATGCATGTGATTTAGACAAAATTATACGCATTAAATGAATAGATATTGACTAATTAAAATATATACATATGATGGTAATGAAAACTGTGCAGTTGGTAATGAAATTGGGGATTAAGGTAATGAAAAAAAATTGCTGGTAATGAAATCAGAGACTAGGCAATTAAACGAAATGGCTCGTAATGTCGATGTAAAAAAAATATAGTAGTTTTACATAATCATTTTACTATCAATTTATTTATGTGAATATTCATTTTATATTATATTAAAAAGAAAACAACAAAACATATAATTCTTGCAATTTAAACAAAACAAACTATTTCACAAAATTCTTTAAATTTAATTATTATCTTTAATCTTTCAATTATAAAACCCTAAAAGTAAAAAATAACTTTGGTATCTTTTCCCGTAAATGTAACAACTAAAAAAGAGATTTACCATAAAATACTCCAACATTTGTATTTTAATACCTATAGGAAATAAACTTTTTACTCAAAAAACAATCGCTTATTACAAATCAAATAAGTTTAGTTTCTAATCAGTCTCATTTTACTAAATAGATATGATTGTAATTAAAGAGTAAATTAATTTTATAAATAGATACTAATGAAATATAAATGTACTGTTTTTTGGTAATATTATTTGACATTTGATTCGAAATCACTAAAGTTCTAGCTAGCCCTATATTATACCGCTAAAAGATATAACAGGGTTTCAAACTGAACAGATCAAATAATCTTTCTTATGAATATAAATAAATATGTAAGTATGATAAACGACAAAAACAAAAACTAAATTCTTAATTCGCACAATATCAATTCTTTCGCTTGGTAAATTAAAAAATACTTTCATCAGAATTATCAAAAAATGAAAAAATACGTGAGTTTTTCTTTACAATTCTGTCCTCTTTACATATTTCTTCTTCACTGCTACTTTCATCCAAATAGTCAAAATACTTTTTCTTCACATTTCTATCCTTTATGCGTACTTTTTTTTACATTATCAATTTCTGAAATATCATCAGGATTATTTTGTTCTTTAGCTTGTTCATTTTTTGCTACTTCTTCTACATTTCTAGAAATAAACTTTTCGAAATCAAGTTGAAAATTTGCATTTCCTGTTTTCTTCATTTCATTTTCTTCAGTTCATTTCACCAATAAAGGTAGTGTTGGTCCAATGTACTTTCACATCAGAGAGTATGGTGATTTCGTTATTATGTTTGGCTCTTACTTGAAGAAGCCATCATATTTTGTGGAGCTTCAGCGGTTAATCTATTCTGGAATTGATTAGTAGGAGTAGGAGCTCGAGGATTTGTCACTTCTCGAAGGACATCGTTCGACGTGTTTTCATTTACGAAATCTTGTAGATATTCAGGTTACGTTCATAAATCCAAGTTTTTGGAAAGTTGTTCGAAGCTTGTTATATGACCAAAGTACTTGATGCACAGACATTGTTCCACAAAATCCTTGAACCGATGAGGGAAATTTTCTCTCATCAATATCTTCTTGTGAGACAGAAAGAAGTTTGATATTCTTCACCTTGTTTTGAATAAGCTCAAAAAAGTCTTCCATTGTGCCAATATCATAACCAAACCGTATAATTTGATCTGCGGTTCTCTTTAGGACAGCACCGACTTAAATAGTTCCAGGTCACAAATTTTAACTGTGGAAAATCCTGTTGCAGTTGGCTAATAACGAAGAAAATGTAGCGATTCCTATATTGGCTAGAAGGACTGTCAGATACAAAATGTACTGTATCAATCAGAGGTGATATTTCTGTTACGTAGGCTAGTAGCGGTATGAGATGTGCCCATATAGCACTGGCGTCATGTCTGTTGCATTTGCTGACACTGTAAACGCTGTATGTCTTCGTGATTCCAGTTTCTGGATCAATTAAATAAGCTACCGCAGTGTGCAATGTTATTTGCAATCGACTGCCGCCGAAACGATAGCTTTGTATCTCCTCATTAAACTTGACGGAGTAATTTTCTGAAAAATCTATGTGTAGCATAGCAAAAGATTAATTTTATAACTTATTAATTAGACTTTTTTCAAAACTGACAGACAGCATCTAAATAACTTCTTTAAATATTGAATGCATGTCAACAATGTCAAACTTTTCATTAAAAACGCTGTTTAATGCCCAAGACAATAGGAAACGTTGTGAAAAGACATTTAATATATAAACGAAACTCTTTCTTGAAATGGTTTGGTGTCGAGAAAGAGGTATCTAAAAAATGGTCTAAATAAGTAGTTATTAAAATAACAGATGTCTTTAAGGCCTTGAAATGCCATTAGTTACTTCAATCATCTTTGTAAGTAGGTATTTCAAAAGTGCAATCAATTCTATATGTCATATTTATGAGACTACAGATAATATCAAATATAAATAAACGTAAAATTCATTACCCTCATTTTTAAGTTCATTACCGTCACCTTCATAGCTGAAGGAAATTGATGGTAATGAAAGTGAGGGTAATGAATTTTTTAAACTGTTTTTGATCTTGCTCGGTAATTAATAGATTTACGTACTTAATAATAATAAGAAATATGAATATACAAATAACAAATGCTTCCAGACCAAAAGCATAAAAAAACTATTACTACTTACATGAACAATCCGCTGTAGGTAATGAAATCAAAACTGGTTGAAGCACGTACTTGCCGATCTTTTTTAGCAGTAGCGTCAAAATTTACACACGCCCTGCCCCGTTCGTCATTGCTGGCCGACGGGCTGGCAAGTGAACGGTGGGAGGTAGATGTGCCATCCAGGTACGATGCATATACAGTATGATTTTTGATATTTCAAACTAGGCTGAAGGTAATGGAATATTTTTTCGGACAAATTGTTTTTATCACAGTTTGTCTAAATATTAACATTATTACAACGTGTGCTTCATTGTTTAAATTCCTTATTCTATACTTGAGGTACTTCAAGTAATAAGAAGCAACAAAAACCTCGATGTATAATTAATAAAAAATGTTTTTCTAACTCGTCACAAAAAGGACGCTGAAGGTAATGAAATTTAAGCAACTAAAATATTATTTTCAGTTAGTAATTCGGCACGATTAACTTTAATTCTATATGGCAGAAATAGATAAACAACCTATTTATAAATTAAAATTATTTTTAGGCTTTTAGAGTGATAAGATTTGCCAAAAAATTCACGGACATGCGATTTGCACGAAATCATAGAAATATCACATTAGACAATTGAAGAACTTATAACATTAGAAAGCATAAGATTTATTTAACATACGAGTATAGCGTTTGAATACATTTAGTTTACTCATAATAAGCGTAATTAGAAATTACATATATCCTTACTTAGTAATGTGAATAAGTCAAACTTTAATGATGAATTATTATACAGTGTGTCAAGTAATTCGAAATAAACAAAAAGCATTAATACATATTCGAATAGGGAATAATGAGAACAATTTTCTTTTCGAAGGGCAAATTTTGTAATCAATGAATTTTACATTGAATTATAATGTCACGTGACTTTGATAGATTTCTTATAGAGTTGTAACATAGTTAACCCCCATTCCTCAAATCCAATACCGATTAACTAAATCAATTCTACAAAAATAACGTACCTATTATATTTCTACCATTTAAATTTTGTTATAATTTTACTCTGAAATTAATGCTTTTTATTGTTCATGCGTAAGTATTAGGCATTAAATTTATGATTGATTTTTCCTAATGTGACATAAGGTTTATTCATTAAATATAAGTGTAATTCTGTTTTTCTTCTGCCGTGATTGTTTATATGAAAAATAAATATT